ACCACACCTACATGTTAGCAAAATCAAGGTAGGAATCTCCCTGACTTCATCTCTTGTACGCACTGCAGTTTTGCCACTGTCCTTCAGCCACTCGAATACTGCCACGTTTGCCTACGAATCATAAATCCTACGCATGTAACCCCATACATGAGGGAGCACTGTGGTCCGTTAACACTCAATAATGATTCATCCCACTAAAAATATCACCACTAATAGCACTAATGCATTAAAAAAATAAAAAAAATAAAAAAAAATACAACTCCAAGACCAAAACATCACATCATTAATAGCGAGACCCACTACCACCTAATTCCGCAAAAAGTCACACAGGTGTCTCCTGGGCCCACTGACTAAGTCCGCAAAAATTTAAACATATATTTGAATTAAGAATTATGTTTGAATGTTTGAAATCTAGTTTTCTAATTCAAAATAAATATATATTCAAGAAGCATTTTGACAACATAATAAAAAGTCCGTCTTCTAATTTTTTAAATTTTTTAAAAATTACATCCCCTTTTTATATTTTTTACATAAAAAAACTAAAAAGACAAAAAAAACAAAAAAAATTAATTTTTTACCAACTTCTCAAAATATTACATAATCATATAATTAAAATTTGAAAATACTTATTAGTAGATCAACCGTATCAAATAATTTAAAAAGATAATTTTATTTAAAATAATCAAAATTTAACTTTATCATGTCTATATTTGGTTTATGATCAATTATGCTAATGATTTAAAAGTATACGTTCCGTTATACTTTAGTTCTTATTTTTTTCAATTATTACAATTTGATTTTCAAAATATGCGACCTATTACACTTTAATCTTTAATACTAGGGCTTATAAAAATTAATAATGGGAATTGGGACATTTAAAATAATTTACAAGAAGTTCCACAATAACCAAAATAAATAAATGCATACATGACTTAAAAGTAGTATTTTGTAGAGTTTTAATTCTTAAAACATGAAATTTGTTTCATGTTAGCTTCAAAAGTATGCATTTCTTACAATTTTTTGTTGTATAAAACCTTTTAATTGATGTTAGTATGTATGTGAGAGGGGAGATTTGCACCGGACAGTACGGCCGAGCTACGGTAACGCAGGTGTGGCAAGCCTCTCGGTGCCGAGCTATCTCCTCAATCGGCACGGCCCTCCGGCCTGTTTTACACGGTCGAGCTAGGTTTGCTGACTAGGCATGCTCTAAGGCCTGGCCGAGCTGTGGCTGTTAGGCGTTTGGCGATAGGCGCGGGTTAGCACGGCGCAACCGAGCAGATGGTGGTCTGGAAAGAGTCTAGGTCGGGAAGAGGTCGGCTTGCGCCCGATAGCTCGGCGGATCGGTCGTGTTCTTTGTGGTTGTGATTTTCTCCCAAGGAATAGGCCGGTCTTGGTATGCGGGTCGGGTGTGCCACTTGGGCCAATGGCGTGAGGGAGAGGATATCTGCTCCAGGCACGCGTCAGCACCGTTTGGCAGTCTTGCATGTACTGGATAGAGGACTTGGCCTTTACACGTGTAAGGTGGTGGGAGGCGAGCACAGCCAACTGTCCAGGGAAGGACAGCAGAGGTAGTGCGCGCACAATCTTGAGGCTGCATGGCCAGCCTAGAAAAAGGAAGGGAGGATGAACGTTGGGGGTAAGTAACTTGCGCTATCTTAAACACTCTTTTTCTCTCTCGATTAGCCTCCTTCTTCTTCAAGTGATCTGACTTGATCGTCGGAGGGTCTATCCGGCACACCACCGCCGGGCAGCTCACCGTTCTCTGTGTTGTCAGGTTGGACGCCATCACGCAAAGCTTGAGTTCCAAGGAGTACGGAAAGCAGAGGATATTACGCCCCCTCACAATTGGCGCCGTCTGTGGGAAGCTCTTTAATACTCAAACCTTGTTTTTCAAGCTTCTTCAACCATCTTCATGGCCAACAACAACGAGACTCCACTGTCCGTCGTCGATGGCGTCACACCAGAGTCTGTCCGATGGAGAGAAGGCCCCCCGAATGTTCCAGCCATGGCGAGCCTAGAAACTTCTTCGCGAGGTGCGCGAGACAAATGCGGAAGAAGTACTGATCGCTCAAAGAGTCCAGAGGGCCGACGGCGGCGGAGGGAGTCTCGTGCGCAGCACTTGGAGCACAAACTCAAAGACCAAGACGTTCTCATTTGCAAGATGGCGGCGGAGATGAAGATGCTGAAACGTCAAATTAAGGGAAAGGGTGTTGCTGGAGAGGGCAACCTCAGTGAGCGCACCCCGTCCCCTCATTCTAGCAGTCGCCGCCAGGAGAGACCCACTCTCTTTCCATCACCAGGAACTATGGGGTTGGAGATTCCGACCGAAGGGAGGGCAAATCCCTCACTCGAGACAGCACATACCGTCCCCCGCGCCATTCTCCGACGTCACGATATTCTTTCTCCACCCGTTCTAGAGACCTGAGAGATGTATTGGAGGAGAGGGCGCGCCGTCGAGAGGCTTAGAGAGTGCCAGCGTGGCAGAGGTTGAGCGCCCCAGTTCACTGTAGTGAAGAAGTGGCGATGCCAGCGCCCAGAGTGATGACCCATGCACCAGTGGACAAAGAGCTGGCGAGACTTACAGCCACGCCGTTGTCTCCGGAGATCGAGAGTACACTACTCCTTGCCAGATTCCACCAGCCTAAGTTCACCTTGTACGACAGCAAAACGGAGCCGTACATGCACGTGAGTCATTACCAGCAAGTAATGGCTGGCCACCGGCGCAATGACGCCTTGATGTGCCTCATATTCCCTGCAAGTTTGGGAGAACTGGGGGCCTAAAGTGGTTCGAAAGGCTTCCACAAGGGAGTATAGAGGGGTGGCAACAACTGGCGGAAGCCTTCGTCACCAGATTCAAAACTAACACTCGAACGTCGAAGGAGGTCGATCATCTTCTGGGCGTGAAAATGGAGTCAGGGGGATCATTGAAGGCATACAACGCGAAGTACTGGAAAACCTACAACGAAATCCTCGACTGCCCTACCAATCTGGCGATCACTCAATACAAGCGGGGTCTCCCAGTCGGGCATAGGCTGCGGGATTCGCTCACAATACACCAACCCATAACCATGGAGTCCTTGATGCAGCGGATCAATAAGCACATTCGTGTAGAAGATGATGCTGCCTCCGCGACCGAGAAGGTTAATCCGGCCGCAGCAGACAGAAAGGTAGCAGAGAAAGTTCACTCGGTCGGGTAGGAGGATAACCGCCCAAGCGATAGGCCAAGAGATCAACGACGTGGCCCAAACCGCGATGATAGAAACAAGGGTCGCAGAAACAACCGAGCTGACGCTTCCCGTGATGCGGCGGAGGATGCTGAGAGAAAATTGAAGGCGCGGACTGGAATCACCATGGTCTTTAAAATCCCTATCTACCGCATCTTGAGTGAGATCAGAGGCAAGCCTTTTGTTCGCTGGCCGGCCAAGTTGGGGAATGCACAGAGAGGCTTCAACTCAAGGTATCGCTGCACCTTCCATGAGGAACGGGGACACCGAACGGAGGGCTGCTTGCCGCTCAAACAACATTTGGAAGAGCTAGTGGCGGCGGGACATCTTGACCAATACATAGATGGGGATATGAAAGCTGCGCCATTGGGGAAAACCGAGCCAAACGGCCTAACCGCCCTAGAGGCAGCACCCCAAGGCGTAATCAACGTCATCCATGGCATCGTTGCACCAGCAAGGGTCTGCGAGCTCAGAGGGATGATCAAGAAAGTCGAGCACATAAGGGAAGTGCTCTCCGTTCGGCCCGCTGTAAAGAGAGGGAAGACCGAGGAGAAGGACATTCTTACCTTTTCGAGCAGGGACCTGGAGCGGATCTAGATGCCCCACAATGACGCCCTAGTGGTAACTCTTCGCATCAAAGGCTTTGACATCAAGAGGATCTTAATCGACCAGGGAAGTTCAGTCGAAATTATGTACTATGACGCGTTCAAACAAATGAAGTTGGAGGACAAGGATTTGGCCCCTGCGACGTCCCTTTTGGTTGGCTTCAACTCTCAGCCAGAGTGGCCGGTAGGGAAGATCATATTGCCGGTCAAAGCTGGTTCGGTAACAAAGCAAGTAGAGTTCTGGGTGCTCAAAGTCCCGTCCACCTACAACTTAATTTTAAGTAGGGGCTGGTTGCACGCCATGCAAGCAGTAGTGTCAACTTACCATCAGGTCTTGCGTTTCCCGGCGCCAAACGGACAAATAGAGGAAGTTTGGGGAGACCAGGTGATGGCGAAACAATGCTTCGTTGCGGTAAATGGCAGCCGAGCAGCTAAAGGATTTGTCCAAATGATTGAGGGACCCGAGGGAAAGGAGGTCCTTGACGACGTAGGAAGAAAGGCCGAGGAAAAATCGATCGAGGATTTGGTGGAAGTGCACGTCGACGAGAATGACCCAACTAAGTTCTTCCTCTTGGGATCCTCTTTGTCTAGCGCCGAGTGGTTGGATTATGTCAACTTCTTGGTCTCCAACATGGAAGCTTTTGCGTGGACGCCTTACGATATGCCTGGCGTCGACCCTAACTTCATTTGCCATTAGTTGAACGTCTTCCCAAACGCGCGGCCGGTCATTCAGAGGACTCGCCGTTCGGCTCTGCACCATGCCGAGGTAGTGGCAGAGGAGGTCAAAAATCTGTTGGAAGCGGGAGCGATAGAAGAAGTGCAATACCCTCGTTGGATATCTGACACGGTGGTAGTCCCGAAAAAGAATGGCAAGTGGCGAGTCTGCGTTGACTATAAGACAGTTAACCGTGCATGCCCAAAGGATAGCTTCCCCCTCCCTCGAATTGACCAGCTGGTGGACTTGACCGCTGGCCATCAGAGGTTTAGCTTCCTGGATGCATATTGCGGCTACCACCAGATAGCCATGTATAAACCAGACCAAGAGATCACGTCGTTCACTACTTCTAGAGGCCTGTATTGTTATAAAGTCATGCCATTCGGACTAAAGAACGCCGGGGTAATTTTTCAGAGGATGGTGACAAAGATGTTCGCTCCTCTTTTGGGCTGAACAATGGAGGCCTACATCGACGATATGGTGGTAAAAAGTAAGGAGAAGTCTCAACACCTCACTGACCTAGCAGAAATGTTTGTTATACTTAAGCGCCACAAACTTCGTTTAAATGCCTCCAAGTGCGCCTTCGGAGTCGACACCGGGAAGTTTCTGGGGTTTTTGGTCACAAACCGAGGGATTGAAGCTGACCCATCGCAGATCAAGGCTATACAAGAGCTGGAGCGCCCAAACTCCGTGAAGGACGTGCAACATCTTGCCGGGATGGCAGCCGCGCTGAACAGATTCATCAGCCGGTCTTCAGATCGTTGCAGGCCCTTCTTTAAAACTTTGAAGGCCAAGTTCTTTTGGGATGACGAATGTGACCGTGCACTGGCAGACTTAAAAATATACCTTTCCTCAGCCCCTATCTTAGTCACACCTCGTCGGGCGAAGAATTGTATCTCTATTTGGCTGTCTCTCAACAGGCTGTGAGCGCCGTCTTAGTCTGCGCTGAAGGCATCCAGCACTTGCCCATCTTCTATGTAAGCAAGACTTTGCTCACGGTCGAGACGCGGTATCTTCCGCTGGAAAAATTAGCGCTGGCTCTGATGATGACATCAAGAAAGCTGACGCACTATTTTCATGCCCATACAATAGTTGTGTTAACCGAGTTCCCACTTAAGGTGCTTTTTGAAAAGGCAGACTTCACCGGAAGAATTTTGAAATGGGCCATGGAATTGGGGCAGTAGGATATCAAGTTCTGCCCGCGCACTGCAATCAAGGCTCAAGCTCTTGTAGACTTTGTGGCGGAATTCGCCCTTGGAACGTATCCAGTTTGCCTGGTTGATTTGGCTGGTGCGGATTTAGCACAGCCCACGGTTCTGGCAATAGAAACGAGTGTTGGCTCAAAAGCGGGGGAAGGCCGACGAGCGACCGCACTAAAGGAGTCGGGTGACTTCTTGGAAGACGTGCTCAATCAAGGCAAGGAAAAACACCAGAATGAACCGATCAGAGACTTGGAATTGAGAAGCTCCCAGAACCCCTCTGATTGCTGGAAGCTGTTTAGTGGCGAGATGTGGAAGCTCTTCGTCGATGGGGCATCCAACAGGCATGGGGCCGGGCTGGGTATCGTACTAACTTCACCGGATGGGCTGATTATCGAGCAGGCAATTACGCTCAGCTTCCTAGCATCCAACAACGAAGCGGAGTATGAAGCTCTCATTGCCGGACTAAGAAGTGCATTGAGAATGAAGGCGTCAGCCCTGATGGTATTCAGCGATTCCAAGCTGGTGGTCAATCAGGTCTCGGGAGAGTATGAGGCAAAGGACAAAAGAATGGCCAAGTATCAGGCGCTGGTACGCGCAGAGATCAAGAAGTTCACTGCAATAAGGATGGAACAAATCAACCGCGAGGAAAACAACACGGCTGATGAATTGGGCGGACTTGCTTCTGCTCAGACAGCTTTTCCTAACCCCTTGATAATAGAATTTTTACCTCGGCCAAGTATTGAGGAACCGGAAATGACCGAGGTGCTCTGCGCCGACTTGGGTCCTTCCTGGATGGACCCCATCATCGTCTTCCTGAAAGATAGAGTTCTACCGGAAGAGAAGAAGGCGGCCAACAAGATCCGGGCCAAGTCAGAACAGTTTTGGCTCTCCCCGTCCGGAGCCTTGTATAAGAAGTCTTTTACCGGGTCATATCTGAAGTGCGTTCACCCTGCTAAGGTGGAAGCCTTCCTGTATGAGATCCATGAAGGCATTTGCGGCAGCCATACTGGGGGTAGGTCACTAGCTTACAGAGTAATTTCCCAAGGTTATTGGTGGCCGTGCATGCAGGTAGACGCATAGAAATACGTTCGCCGATGTGAAAAGTACCAAAAATTTGCTCACCAGATCCACTAGCCAGCGAGAGAATTGCTCCACCTTACAAGTCCTTGGCCGTTCGCACTCTGGGGATTGGATATAGTGGGGCCACTCCTAGCAGCCCCGGGTAATCGCAAATTCTTTATTGCCGCCACCGATTACTTCACAAAGTGGGTTGAGGCTGAGCCACTGGCGACCATAAAGGAAAAGGATGTGAAGAAGTTTGTTTGGCAAAATGTTATCACTCGCTTCGGTATACCCAAGGCCCTCATCTCAGATAATGGCACTCAATTCGATGGGAAACTCTTTCGCAGATTTTGCGAAGAGCTGAAGATCAAACTCTATAATTCAACGCCGGCCTATCCTCAATCAAATGGTCAAGCAGAGGCCTCAAACAAGACCATCCTGGATGGGTTGAAGAAGCGGCTTGAGAAGGCCAAGGGGAGGTGGGCTGAAGAACTCCCTAACGTACTCTAGGCGTACCGCACTACGCCACGACGGTCGACCAGAGAAACTCCGTTTGCCTTGGCCTATGGCATGGAAGCCGTTATCCCGCTGGAAATTGGCATGCCAACCATCCGGTCTGAAAGCTTCCAGCCAGATTTGAACAATGAAGCAGTGGCATTAGAGCTAGACCTTGCCAAGGAAAGGAGGGAGCGGGCCCTAATCCACATAGCGGCCTATCAGCAAGAACTCTCCAAGAAATACAATAAGGCTGTGCACCCCAGGCTGTTCAAGATCGGGGACTGGGTCTTAAGAAAAGTGCTGGGCAACATGGTGGTCCCTGGCGAAGGAAAGCTCGGGGCAAATTGGGAAGGACCATACAAGGTGACTGGTCTCACAGGCAAAGGGGCATACCATCTGGAAGATTTAGATGGCAAAGCTGTCCCCAGACCATGGAATGCAGCCAACCTTAAGATCTTTTACTTTTAAAATGTAATTGCTTTTGTTGCTTAGCTTTCTAGACCTTAAGCCTTTTGGCATTTAATGTAAGGATAGCACTGTTTTTTGTAATGAAAAATAGTCCTCTTGTTGTTTTGTATCACATCTTTCTGTACAATGACACCGCAAGGATACAAGGCCACTGTGGATGCCAGGGGCAAAGGGACCGACCTGAATGGGACCGAACTAATTTTCTCTCGCCGGTATAGAAGCAGACCGCACCAACAGTTGGTGTATTGTTGTCCAACGAAATGATTGGCATATGGAACAATTCAAGGCCGAGCTGGTTTTTTGCTCGCCCAATTGGGATGTTGGCGTCATGACCAACCTAAATGAAATATTGGTGTTTTGCCCGATGTTAAGGCTGAGATGATTTTGCTCGGTCAAAATGAAATGTTGGTGTTGTCCAACAAATAATAGCTGAGCTGACTTTGCTCGGCCAAGTGATATGTTGGTGCCTTCTCCAACTTACAAGAGGCCGAGCTGACTTCGCTCGGAGAAAGGGAATGTTGGCGTTCTGTCCAACTCCATGTCGGAATATTGGTGTTTTGTCCAATTTGATGGCCGAGCTGGTTTGGCTCGGCCGAAGTGAAATAACTAAGATGTCCAATTTCCTCCAGGGCCGAGATGATTTTTGCTTGCCCAAACACAAGACTTGAAGTGTTGTAAAAGCCAGAACGGTAGTGGTAATTTTTGCTCGGCCGAATGAAAATTTTTGGGTTCGTTCAAAAAAAAAAAAAACAAAAAAAACGAGCTGAGAGCAGCCGCGAGCATTTAAATTGAAGAAGTTCTGATTTTAGCTAGGCATATTGCGCGGCCAGCCGGCCTATCAATTATGGTACATTAAAGTTTGAATCAAGACATTTTGCATGTTGCAACCGAAACAAAAAGAGAAGATCAGCGGGCAAAAAGTTCAAATTTCATTGATTGAGGAAATTGCATTACAATTGTGGGGCCTTAGCCCGGTTACATTAAACAAAGAAAGAAAAGAAACGGAAACACAGCAGGAAATAGGAGGGGGCATTTCAATCCAATTCCAGGTCAACCGTCTGCTCGGCGACCTCCAGAGTCTGCTCGGCAACCTCCGCATTGTGCTCGGGCAAGCCTTCTTCCAACTCACCATCCGCGTCCTACACCGCGACAACCTCCCAATCAGCTACTTGATCTTCGGCATCCTGAGATGCTTCCGGAGAAGTTTGCTCGGTTTGTTGCGCGGCGGCAGTTTCTTCCGCGGTTTCCTTTTTGGCCTCCTCTATGAGCCTCTTCTGCGCGACGCTCGCATAGGCCTACATATAGTGCGGTATGAAGGCCGCAGGCGGATGTAGGAACATGTCAGCATCCTGACCAAGGCCAACTTTCTCCACGGCAGCTTTCTAATCGCACTGGAAAAAGATGTCCTTGGTCGCATGCACCTGCCGTTCATACGTTTTTTCGCCTTGAGCATAACCCCTGTCTTCGGCGTCGTTAACCGCCTTATCTTTCTCCTCTTTGTGGGCATCGCGCAGCTTCCTCAGCTCGCGCGAGATACCGGGCTTTGGTCGACTTCACGGTCCGCTGTTTGTCTGCTTCAGCTCGGTCAACCTTTTGGCTCAGGTTATCTCGTTCGGCCTCAACTGCTTCATACGCGACCTTAAGCTTCGCTATCTCGGCCTTTTGGGCCTTGTTCTCAACTATGGCATCCCGCAGGCTTTGTCGCATTGCGATCATTTGGTCGTGCGCTAAATAGTTCTTTTGCGCGGCCTGAAAACAAATGAAAGATTGTAAACGCTCAGAAAACCGAGCAAAAACCGGTCAACAACTTGCAGAAAAACGCATGGACCTTACCAAAACGATCGATTTTGCTTCCGAGCGAAGCACATTCAGGTCGGACAGCTCGTCGTGCTTCTTCATGTTGGCGGGAAGGATCAGCCCCTTGGTCATGTTGAAACCGAGGGAGTAATCCTTGTCCGCGTACACTGAGTCGGCCTCAGAGACAGCCCGGCCTTTGTACTTAATCTCGGGTGCCCAGACCGGGGGGGTCGTTGGGGCTTTGGATGGCCCGCTCAGTTGTTCGGTCTGGTCACCCAACTCGGTGGATGCGTGCTCGGTTGAATCTTCGTCGACCAGTTGTTGCCCGGTTTGGTCTTTTCTTGGTCGCTTCTTCGACCGGCCTGTTGGATGTTCGCTTGCAAGAGCCAGCACAGCCCTCTCCCTTTGCTCGGCTGGAGTGGAGGAAGTCCCCCCAGGTACCTCTGGTGGCTGGGAGTCGTTCAGTTCTCCGGTGATCATTGATTTGATTGCCCGAATTTTTGCGATTTCCTATTCGGCGGTGAGGGGAACAAGTTTGATCGTTGGGAGACTTGGATCTGGTTCTGGAGAAGGCGCACGAAGAAAGTCAGTCACCCTGCTTTTGCGCGGTGCTGTGTAGTGGTAGGTCAGTTCGAAGCCAAGGAGTTTTGAAGACTCCCTTTCCTCGGCCAGATGACGAAGCAGAACTCTGATGGCCTCTTGATTAGCTCGGGAGTAGTCGTCGGCCAAGAGCTTGTAATCTGCAAAAAGGAGGACAAGTGTTAGGTCGGCAAGAAGAAAATCAGTGCAAAAAGAAAGTAGTGCAGTTTACTGAGCTACTCACCAGCACTGCCAAAATCTTTCCTAATATACCAGCCTGGTATGGGCGCCTCGGTGTCCTCATAACGACCGGACATCCACAAGAAGTCATCGTCGTTTGTCTCCTTATCTGGGTTACCCTCTATGAATTTTGCTTGGCCCTTCTTGACCTTCAGGTACCAGCAAAACCCACCCTTATTTTTGCTAAGGCTGTATTGATGTAATATCTCGGCAAGACCGAGATTGAGACCGAGCCTCCTATTCAGCTCAGCCACACCGTTTATTATCTTGTATGTGTTGTTCGAGACTTGGGTCGGACAAAGCCTTGTCTGCCTCAAAAATTCGTAGATCAAGGGTTGGACTGGGAAGCGAAGCCCTCCTTCCACGATGGATACAACCGTGAAGGGGCACCGATCTAGGTCACCCCATGGGATATCTCCCTTCTTGGCCAGCTCTAAATGGACATCGTCTGGAATGTTATACTCCTTACGAAACTCAGCTAGTGCACCGGGCAAGCTCACCATGAACCGGCACTTCCCCATCTACCTCGGTTTTACTTATTTAGTGGTTTAATTTGTATCTCGGCAGAAAATTCTGGTGTATTTGCTCGAACTTGGAGCTCCACCAGTGAGGGTTCTGGACTGGCCTGATCGGTCCTAGTTTATTCTGCATTGTTAAAAAAAAATAAAATAAAATAAGCCCAAGGGTTAGCACGGCATTAATTGCACGGTTGATATTGGAACTCTTAGCTCAGGGAATGGTTTTTTGGAAGTTTGGCCGGTCTGACCCCTATCGCGGCTCGACTGCACGGTTGATTCAGCCTTCATGGTTTGGTTCTTACTCTATTTTTAGCTCGGTCAAGGCCCAAGAAGAAGACTCGGACAAGTTTTGGCCCGGTTCAGTCATATTTACTGATCTAATTAAGTATTCAGCTCAGTCAAGGCCCCGAGAAGAAGCCACAAACCAAGTTTTTGCTCAGTTGAAGCTCCACTTACGAATCTAATTGAGCATTTAGCTCGGTTCTACCCAGATTCAAACTGTTCACCCCAGAAAATGGGGCTCGTTCGTTCGAACCAAGGGCACGAGGGCCCCTTCCATTCCTACAGTTTCCATTTGCCCTAGGGTGTACAGGTTCTATGCATAAGAGGGAACGTCGATAGTCCCAAGCAAAGAACATGAAGAACAATAGCACAAAAATGAAGAACAGGTATGAAGAACTGGAAAATGGAAACTGAAAACACAATGAGGGAGTGGGGAAACTCACCGCAACCTGATGACGAGCGGGGTTCGACTCTACAAGCCTGTAGGCAGCTTCAGAAGTGACAGCAACGATGGGTGAAGCAAGAGGCAGCGACGGCGGTGAAGGAAATGGAGTTTTTAGAGTTAGGGTTTTGGCTCAAGGAGAAGATGAATAGTGAGGGAGAAGTGACCCTTCGTTTAAGTGTTTAAGGAAGTGGGAAAAACCAAATGGCTGCGCCATTTGAATTTCGCGCTTAAAAAGACAACTTTGGGGCTGCACGGGGCCAATGGGATAAAGCCACGTGGCATCGAAAGGACGGCTGTCAGTACGGTTGTACGGCCCTCGACGAGACCGCTGAAGCAGTGACCGACCAAATGGGATAGCTCGGTACCGGCATCCAAACCAATCACGTTTGGCTTGGTACTGGCGCAGCTCAGGGACCGTTAGCTCGGTCATGGTGGTAACTCCAATCACGATTAGCTCGGATGGGATTAAGGGGCAATTGAGAGGGGAGATTTGCACCGGACAGTACGGCCGAGCTACGGTAACGCAGGTGTGGCAAGCCTCTCGGTGCCGAGCTATCTCCTCAATCGGCACGACCCTTCGGCCTGTTTTACACGGTCGAGCTAGGTTTGCTGACCAGGCATGCTCTAAGGCCTGGCCGAGCTGTGGCTGTTAGGCGTTCGGCGGTAGGCGAACGTTAGCACGGCACGACCGAGCAGATGACAGTCCGGAAAGAGTCTAGCTGGGAAGATGTCGGCGTGCGCCCGACCGGATAGCTCGGAAGCTCGGTCGTGTCCTTTGTGGTTGTGATTTTCTCCCAAGGAATAGGCCGGTCTTGGTATGCCGGTCAGGTGTGCCACTTGAGCCAATGGCATGAGGGGGAGGATATCTGCTCCAAGCACGCGTCAGTACCGTTTGGCAGTTTTGCATGTACTGGATGGAGGATTTGGCCTTTACACGTGTAAGGTGGTGAGAGGCAAGCACTACCACTTGTCCAGGGAAGGACAGCAGAGGTAGTGCGCGCACAATCCTGAGGCTGCATGGCTAGCCTAGAAAAAGGAAGGGAGGATGAACGTTAGAGGTAAGCAACTTGCGCTATCTGAAAACACACACTCTCTCTCTCTCAAGGAGCCTCCTTCTTCCTCAAGTGATCTGACTTGATCGTCGGAGGGTCTATCCGGCCGTTAGACAGTTCTGCGTGTACTAGTGGAAGGACTAAGCCTTTACACGCGTAAGGTGGTGGGAGGCGAGCACTGCCACCTGTCCAGGGAAGGACAGCAGAGGTAGTGCGCGTGCAATCTTGAGGCTGCATGGCCAGCCTAGAAATAGGAGAGGAAGAAGAACGTTTAAGGAAAGCAACTTGCGCTATCTGAAACACTCTCTCTCTCTCTCAAAGAGCCTCATTCTTCCTCAAGTGATCTGACTTGATCGTCGTAGGGTCTATCCGGCACACCACCGCCGGGCAGCTCACCATTCTCTGTGTTGTCAGGTTAGACGCCGTCATCAAGGGTTGGACAGGGAAGCGAAGCCCTCCTTCCACGATGGATACAACCGTGAAGGGGCACCGATCTAGGTCACCCCATGGGGTATCTCCCTTCTTGGCCAGCTCTAAATGGACATCGTCTGGAATGTTATACTCCCTACGAAACTCAGCTAATGCACCGGGCGAGCTCACCATGAACCGGTACTTCCCCATCTACCTCGGTTTTACTTATTTAGTGGTTTAATTTGTATCTCGGCGAAAAATTCTGGTGTATTTGCTCAGACTTTGAGCTCCACCAGTGAGGGTTCTAGACTGGCCTAATCAGTCCTAGTTTATTCTGCATTGTTAAAAAAATAAAATAAAATAAAATAATAAGCCCAAGGGTTAGCATGACATTAATTGCACGGCTGATATTGGAACTCTTAGCTCGGGGAATGGTTTTTTGGGAGTTTGGCCGGTCTGACCCCTATCGCGGCTCGACTGCACGGCTGATTCAGCCTTCATGGTTTGGTTCTTACTCTATTTTTAGCTCGGTCAAGGCCCAAGAAGAAGACTCGGACAAGTTTTGGCCCGGTTCAGTCATATTTACTGATCTAATTAAGTATTCAGCTCAGTCAAGGCCCCGAGAAGAAGCCACAAACCAAGTTTTTGCTCAGTTGAAGCTCCACTTACGAATCTAATTGAGCATTTAGCTCGGTTCTACCCAGATTCAAACTGTTCACCCCAGAAAATGGGGCTCGTTCGTTCGAACCAAGGGCACGAGGGCCCCTTCCATTCCTACAGTTTCCATTTGCCCTAGGGTGTACAGGTTCTATGCATAAGAGGGAACGTCGATAGTCCCAAGCAAAGAACATGAACAATAGCACAAAAATGAAGAACAGGTCTGAAGAACTGGAAAATGGAAACTGAAAACACAATGGGGGAGTGGGGAAACTCACCGCAACCTGATGACGAGCGGGGTCCGACTCTACAAGCCTGTAGGCAGCTTCAGAAGTGACAGCAACGATGGGTGAAGCAAGAGGCAGTGACGGCGGTGAAGGAAATGGAGTTTTTAGAGTTAGGGTTTTGGCTCAAGGAGAAGATGAATAGTGAGGGAGAAGTGACCCTTCGTCTAAGTGTTTAAGGAAGTGGGAAAAACCAAATGGCTGCGCCGTTTGAATTTCGCGCTTGAAAAGACAACCTTGGGGCTGCACGGGGCCAATGGGATAAAGCCACGTGGCATCAAAAGGACGGCTGTCAGTACAGTTGTACGGCCCTCGACGAGACCGCTGACGCAGTGACCGACCAAATGGGATAGCTCGGTACCGGCTTCCAAACCAATCACGTTTGGCTTGGTACTGGCGCAGCTCAGGGACCGTTAGCTCGGTCATGGTGGTAACCCCAATCACGGTTAGCTCGGATGGGATTAAGGGGCAATTGAGAGGGGAGATTTGCACCGGACAGTACGACCGAGCTACGGTAACGCAGGTGTGGCAAGCCTCTCGGTGCCGAGCTATCTCCTCAATCGGCACGGCCCTCCGGCCTGTTTTACACGGTCGAGCTAGGTTTGCTGACCAGGCATGCTCTAAGGCCTGGCCGAGCTGTGGCTGTTAGGCGTTCGGCGGTAGGTGTGCGTTAGCACGGCGCGACCGAGCAGATGGCGGTCTGGAAAGAGTCTAGGCCGAGAAGAGGTCGGCTTGCGCCCGATAGCTCGGCGGATCGGTCGTGTTCTTTGTGGTTGTGATTTTCTCCCAAGGAATAGGCCGGTCTTGGTATGCCAGTCAGGTGTGCCACTTGAGCCAATGGCATGAGGGGGAGGATATCTGCTCCAAGCACGCGTCAGTACCGTTTGGCAGTTTTGCATGTACTGGATGGAGGATTTGGCCTTTACACGTGTAAGGTGGTGAGAGGCAAGCACTACCACTTGTCCAGGGAAGGACAGCAGAGGTAGTGCGCGCACAATCCTGAGGCTGCATGGCCAGCCTAGAAAAATGAATGAAAGATGAATGTTAGAGGTATGCAATTTTGAGCGATTCTCTCTCTCTAACAGTATTCTTCTTCCTCAAGTGTTCGGAGGGTCTATCCGGCGACCCACCGCCATCTGAAACACTCTCTCTCTCTCTCTCGAATAGCCTCCTTCTTCCTCAAGTGATCTGACTTGATCGTCGGAGGGTCTATCCGGCACACCACCGCCGGGCAGCTCACTGTTCTTTGTGTTGTCAGGTTGGACGCCGTCACGCGAAACTTTAGTTCCAAGGAGTACGGAAAGCAGAGGATATTACGCCCTCTCACAGTATGTGTAAAATTACGAAATACCTCTTATTTTGTGATTGAGATTTTGAACGGTTATGCTATTAGGATTAAAGTCTAACATATTGCATATTTTAGACGCTGTTTGTGTAATTAATCATTTTGTTTATATTTAAGTCTAATTTTCTAAAATAATATAATTTTGACATAACTTCATATTTTGCTTAATTATTCTAACATAATATATTTACTTAAAGCATAAAAAATCACCATGAAAAAATAATTAGGAGGGATGGTGGGAATAAAACTAAGGGTTCGTTTGGGAAGAACTAAAGTGGGTTTTTTTGGTTATTTTAGTCACAAAAGACAAAATAGGCTATTTTAGCCACAAAAAATAAAACATCACATCCAATCCATAATCATTACACTCTTTTCTCACAAAAAAAGTTAAAAAAGCCAAAAAGTCCTTCCCAAATCAAGCTTTTTAGCCCAGGGTAAAATAGCCAAAAAAGTCAAAAAGTTAAAAAGCCAACTCACTTTCCAAACGGAGGCTAAATCAGATTGATTACCTAAACTTTCATTGATAATGTAGACTTATAATTTAAATACAAATATTTTTTTTTGTATAGATAATGAGGTGATTTATTGATAGCCATTTTATTAAAAAAAAGCATCACTTTTTGTCTAAATAATTTGGCTGATATATGCAATTTGTATGATTTTAGACTCTGTTTGAAAAGTGAGTTGGCTTTTTGATTTTTTTAATCTGAGACTAAAAAGTCTAGTTTGGGAAGGATTTTTTGACTTTTTGACTTTTTTGACTTTTTTTTATGAAAGAGGAGTATAATGATTGTGGGTTGGATTTGATGTTTTATTTTTTGTGACTAAAATAACCTATTTTATTTTTTATGACTTTTTTAACCCCTAACCCACCAAAACCAACTTCCCAAACTATGCCTTAGATTTTGTTTATAATTACTCAATGATATCATCCCCAAGGTGATTCTCGTCACTTGACAAATTATGAAGAAATAATGTTAGCTAACAACAAGATCAATCCAGCCAGCCAGCCAGCCAGCCAGCGTGTCTTGGACAAGAGCAAGGAGGAGAAAATGGCGGAGTCTCGTTTATGCCCACCCTCGTACCCACAGACCACGCAACAGATTTAGATTAGGACGCAAACGCCGTTTAACAGTTAACGGCGACCAACGGGTCTCCCTCTCTCTCCTCATGATTATTTGTTTGTTTTCGTTTCTCTCTCTCTCTCTCTGTTTCTGATTCTCTCTCTCTCGTCTCATATCATGATCTAACACATCGGAGTTCTCGTGTTTGTAGGAGCGGGTCTGGTCTGGTCTGGTCTGGTCCGGTCCTCTACACCCCGCCCTCTATATTCTCTCTCTTTTTTCTCATTTTGTATATTCCGAAAACCAGGGCGATCTGTTTCTCTCTCTCTCTCTCTCTCAAGAAGCGAGACAGAGAGAGAGAGCCCGGGGGCAAGGGATCGGAATCTCGCCGGGAGAAAGCCGTACCTAGCCGGAAACTCTATGAAATCCGGCAGGAGGCTCTGAATCAACCGGCGAGGAAAGGAAGTTGAAGAAACAGAGATAGGAGAAGAGAGAGAAACGGGGAGGAAAAAAAAAAAAAAAGTAATAACAATGGGAGAATACATGTGGTTAACGTGCAATGTAGGAAGAAATTGAAGAGAGACAAGGCATCAAGGCTTTGGAGGTTCTTGCACGGCACAGATGCCTAGATCCCTTCTTCAATCTCCCCCCTTGCCTTTTGCCGTAATCCATTCGATTTCTATGTCTCTCAATCATTATTAACTTTCCTTCCCTTTCTTTAAATTCTTCCCACCCATGCCTCTTTCTTTCTCTCCCAAATCCTTTTCCAGAACTGCACTCACAATTTGACTCTATCGGATATGGCGTTCATGTTCACAATTTAAAGGTACGCGCTTTAATTTTTCCTTCTTTTTTTGTTTTGGCTGAATTCTTGTTGCATTTGATCTTTCTACTTGCTATTTTCAGGCGTCGATCCTTTGATCGGTTGTTTTTTTTAATGTTTAAAGTTGGTATCTTTATCCATTTTTTATCTTTTATTTTTAAACAATGTATGCTCTGCGATCGGCCGTTGAATTTGGGGCCCTTCTGTGTGATTTCGAGTTCGAGCTGATCTTTCCTTTTGGGGCGCTGCGATTTCAATTTTCCCTCTCGTTTAAGACCTGTATGTTGACATTGAATTTTTTTTTTATCCCCTTTTTAAGAAGGAAAATGAAAATTTCCTATTTGAGGATAGCTTGTACATCTGCATTTACCAGAATAGAAGAATTCGTTTTGGTACTTGTTGAATTTTGATAATTATGCCTTCTCTCATCTGTTATAAAGTTCAAATTATCTGCTTATTTAATTCTTAACTTCTTAAATGCATCATCTCGTCATTCAGTGGAGAGATGCCTTCTTGTCAGAATTGAACAACTTACTTAATTGCAACAATTTCTGTCAAAAATTCAATCCAATGTTCAATATCTCTCAAAATTACGCCAGCTTTTTAATTTTGATTGCTTATTTCTTTGTTTAGTTTTATTTATTTTGTATTTATTTGCTCTTCACTCCACCAAAATGTGATGAAGATGTTTGTTTATGTTCTTTAATGCATTTCTACCTCTCTGATGTTTGGCTGATATTAAAAAAAAAAAAAAAAGTACCTAGTTTTTCTCATATTGTTTTTCAGGGTGTTATTGGGCTGCTAATTTTCAATTCCCATTAAAATAATAAATCATTTTATTTATCCTCCATGCAGATTTTCTTCACGGAAGCTGGAAACTTTTCAATTGTAGGTTCACCGGTGATAGCCTGTTGAGTAACGGTTTTCAGTTTTCGTCTTCTTTTTCAATACTGGGTTCACCATGCCATCAGAAATGATGCAGCCAAAGGGTTTGTCGTCATCATCTTTCTTCTCTGAGGACGTATGTTTTCCTAATGAGGTAGTGATTTCTCGTACATTTATCAATTCTGTTCTTGTTAGGCAGTTTGTATATGCAAATTTATAGATAAGAACTCAATTAATCTGTGGCAAACCTTTTTTCTTTTTATAAATATACTTCTATTCCAATCGTTATTTATCCCTTCTATTTCTACAATTGGCAGAGACAGATTGGGTTTTGGAAGACAGAAACCATGCCTGATCATTATGGTGAGTAGTAATTATCTATATACCATGTGGGTCTCAAAGTTGGGTTTTCATTCCGGTTGTTATTTATTCCTTGTGTGGAGCTTTATTGTAAATCCTCTTTTTTTTTTTTTTTACTTTTTTTGTTTGGTGATAAAAAGTTTTTTAACTACAAATAACATAGATGTAAAGAATAAGTTGTGTGTGTTGCACAACAATATGTGGCATCTTCATGTCAAACACATGTCCAGTATGTCTAACTTAGCACACTTCATTTTTTAACTATCTGTTGGATGTTTTGAGGTGTCTCATTCACTATAGATATGCAGGAGTTAAGTTTGCCAAACAGATGATAATTGCATATTTTTGTTGACTTAGGGATGAATCTTTGTCACGATGTGGCAATTTGACCCCCAGATTAATAATTAGAAAGAGTGGCTTCAAAGAATCAAATTGAACAAGCCTCTCTGATGGAATTCATCCAGAAAGTAGAATTACATGGAAAACTAGGAAAATGCATGCAAGAGAATGGATTGTCTCTAGTTTGATGCTTTGGCAGCATTATTTGTATGTGGCTCCAATTGGTGTCATGGGATTGTGTTGGGGGCTGCTAGTAGATCTCATAAAAACTCATAGAACCCTACGTAAAGCATAGAGTCTTAAATTAAATGTATATATGTTTGGTTTTTATTTTTTGCACTGACCTAAACATACTCTATAATCATGTATTAGAAACTGATCTTTTCTCTAGTATGGATAGCAGTGTGGATTTGCTGGGAGAAATAAGAAATTATACAATAAAAAGGCACAATCTATGCAGTTTTCATGTGACCTTTGTATAAAGTCAAGACAATGAAGAATTTGATAACATTTGCAGAGCAACAAACAATGGTTAGTCAGCCTACAACTGAGAGATTCTCTGAAATGATTCAAATGAAGACTCACAGTTAAAAGGTTGAATTCTAGAAAAAGAAATTTTGACGCATTCCAAAAATACCCCCCATAATTGAATTTAAGGGCAGCTTTCTTGATCAGTTGATCCACAATATTTGAATTTACTGAATGAATGATATTGTCACTGATTTCCCTGTAAGAATCTTATAATGCTCTTTATCAGGATACAACCTATTGGAATTGCATATGAATTTAAAAAAAGACTTTGTTTAATTTATTTGTTTTATGAGAAAGACTATGGCACTACCAAGAGAAATGGAAGGTATTCCTGCATTTAAAAGGCTACAATTGAATTTTTTTTTTTCTGTGTTTTGCACAACTAATGCATTTGATGTTGGATTTGTTAGTTTAGTTTGTAGGCTGTTTGAACCATTTCTTGAACTGATATCATGCTGTGGGAATTCTAAGTTGATTCAGTCGTAAAAATGGATGGAGTAATAGGTACAACAGGCGGAAATTCAGTTGTTTCATCACCCCTCGAGAAACAGATGTCAGTGGAATCTCAGATGGTTAAATCTTTCAAACTTCCTGATCAATACCTAATTCGAGACCGGAAAGTCAATCTTACCTTAGAGAAGCATGCAGTGGGAGCAGAGAGAGAAGCCAGTCGTTCCTTGCGGAGACCTGTTGACCATGACCCAGCAGCAAGATCTAATTTGAAGATGGAACCAGCAACTTATTTTATGGAAGGTGAAGGAATTAATGCCATGGGCACTCATTATGAGAATGGTCTCTTCTCAAGTTCATTGTCTGAATTATTTGGCAGAAAATGTAAGGGTTGATTTATTTGGAAGTTTCTCCATGCTGGTGTTAGCCAACACACTTGATTTGTTAAATATTTGTCATTCCACTGATTGAATTGATATATGGAATCAGCTCATAGCTTCTTGTTTTTCTTAAGCTAGATGCAATTACTGATTCATTGATACAATCTGTTCCTTTTGTTTTAATATGGGTTTCTCTGTTTCAGTGAGATTAACATCAAATAATGGTCTGTATGGCCATTCTGTTGGTGGTGCTGCCTCCCACTACGAGGAAGAGGAACCTTTTCAATCACTTGAGGAAATTGAGGCACAAACTATTGGAAATCTCCTCCCTAATGATGATGATTTGCTTTCTGGAGTGACTGATGGGCTTGACTATGTGGCCCAACCCAATATCGGAGATGATATTGAAGATTTAGACTTCTTTAGTAGTGTTGGGGGGTTGGACTTAGGAGAAGATGGTTTCCTTCCAGGACAAAGAGATTCTGAATTTTCTGGTGGAAGTCCTGATAATCAGATGGGGGGATCTTTTAGTTCGGTTGCCGGGGAACACACTTATGGGGAACATCCATCTCGAACACTGTTCGTGCAAAATATAAATAGCAATGTTGAAGATTCTGAGTTACAGGCCCTTTTTGAGGTGTGCTATTCTCATTATCGCTCTTTTGATGTTTCTAATCACATTTCATACATATCTTTAGTTGAGCATTTTGTTGATCTATTGTTGACCTTAATGTCATGTAATGTTCAGCAATATGGGGATGTCCGCACTCTTTATACTGCATGCAAGAACAGGGGCTTTGTTATGATATCATATTATGATATTAGAGCAGCCCAAAATGCTATGAGAGCGCTTCAGAACAAGCCATTGAAACGTAGGAAGCTTGACATACATTTCTCAATTCCAAAGGTACCCTATTGCTGTGTCATTCTTCCTAATGGAGCCATTAATTTTTCTTTTCTTCTTTTGTCCCCATGTTAGTCATTATTCCTGTCATTGTAATCATGATGACCATACACTTGTTGCACTGGTAGATCTTCATCACATATCCGTCAGTGCACAAGTTGTGGCTTCTCACCTGGCTTGTTATCTTTTGTCAGGACAATGCTTCACAGAAAGATATTAACCAAGGCACTCTTGTGGTTTTTAACCATGATTCTTCTGTTTCAAATGAGGAACTTTGGCAAATTTTTGGTGCTTATGGTGAAATTAAGGAGGTGAGCTTGTTTCCCAATTTTTATGTTGGACTTCAAAGTTCAACTGGCATTTCAATGATACACCAATCCTTGTTTCCAAACTGCAGATCCGTGAGACTCCACACAGAAGTCATCACAAATTTATAGAATTTTATGATGTTAGGGCTGCGGAGGCTGCTCTTCATGCATTAAATAGGAGTGATATTGCAGGGAAGCGGATTAAGCTTGAACCAATCCATCCTGGGGGTGCTAGACGGTGGGTATTGCCTAATCCCATTGATTCTTATATTTCTTTGTGATGTCTTCTCCTCCTCTACTACTCCTTATTTGTTTATCTTCTTGCTTGTTATTCCTTTTGTGCCAGGCTATATCAAAATGAAAATTGAAGGTTGTCTTGCCCCCCCTCCCTTTTTTTGTGTGTGCATATTTTGCTAGAAATGAAATTTTATTGCAAATTTTCATATTTTAGTTAGGTATTGGTTGGGTCGGGTCAGTTTTACCACCGGCCCACCACCCGTACCGACCACTTTTGAGTCAAAGTATCCACATCTGATTTTGACCAAGTACAATTGGAAACCAATGGCTTCGGGGGCTTCGGATTGACGGTCAGTTTTGATAGGGTGATGGAGATTGTAGAGGGGAGGGGGGGGGGGGGGGGGATTTAGAGAGAGAAAAGGGAGATCAAAGACTCAGAGAGTGAGGATTAGGAAGGGAGAAAAACCCACAAAGACAATCACAAATTCACAAAATCTCCCAAACGATCAGTTGAATCTATCAACAAAACAATCTACAGACCACAAAAAACAATGACTGTGCTTTACTTCAACAATAACAACCCCAACAGCAGATGGAGAGACTTATCAGTGTCTGTGTGGAAGCCACTGTTGCCAGCTGCCGCTGCCCCCTTCTCCCTCTTGCAACTGCCACACCGTCTCTCCTTGGAGCAGCCTCCACTTTCTGCTTGAGCCTTGCTACTTCCTGTTGCATCTGGATGCAAAGTAGGTTTGAGATGGACCAAACACAGCCATTGTTGCTAAGTGGACCTGCTTTCATGCATTGAAATGGCTCCAAGGCCTCCAACGCAGCTATGGGGAAGGATTGAGACAGGGGAATCTAGAGAGAGAGAGAGAGAGAGAGAGAGGCCTAAGTGTTCAGGCTTCTAACTTCTGAGAGAGAGAATTATATATATGTAGTATGTATGTTACCCACTGGGGTCGGTTAGTTTCGCACTTAAAATATTACAAACCAGGACGGAACCGAAGAACTAATTTTCCTTTAAAAGAGAACAGAGCTGACAAACATATTAAAAAACTGCACAAAAGTGAGTGGTTCGGCCTGGTGTGGTCAGTTTGGTCAGGTCAGGTCAGGTCAGATGGTTTTCTGAACACCTCTAATTTTAATGCTTGTAAGCTCAACATGTCATTGTCATTGATATTGGACAATGACTTATTTTAATTTGCGCTGATTTTAGTTTTTGACCTCTTGGATAAACCTTTGTTTGTCTTCTCCTCCTTTTTCCTGTGCAGTTTGATGCCACCATTTCCTTCAGAAATTGAGCAAGATGAATCTGGTCCATATCTACAACAAATTAGCTCTCCTAATAACTCAACAATGCGATTTTCTGGTATGAGTACTGCCAGTGAGATACACTGTTCATTAGAAATTGATTCAAAAGAAGGCTTTGTGTTACTTTTGCCTTACAATAATTGTTCTACAGGACCAATTTCCCATGGGGGAATCACATCTTCAGGCATGGATAATGGAACTATTTCAGGGGTACACACTGCAATCCAATCACCTATTAGTCCCTTCATGGAAAGAAGTGTTCCATCATGGGATCTCATCTAGCATTCCTAACAGTTTACCCTCTCTGGTGAGAGTTGAATTACTTGGCAATCAATCCGGCCTCCCTGAGCCCGGCCTTTCACCAGGCCAGCCAAAAATTGAATTCCAGGGAACACCCAATTTTCATCCTCATTCACTTCCAGAGTATCAGGATGGTTTAACTAATCGTGCTTCTTGTAATTCCCCGGGCATGGCTGCAAATATTAGTGCCAGTCCATCTGAAAGAATTGAGAATCGCCAGTTCTGTAGAGTAAGCTCAAATGGGCATCCACTTGAACTGAATGATGCTGGTAAGTGCATTAGATAACAAGGTGACATTGTTTTCTTTTATGCATGTCAAAGAAATTTTCTGTCTTTTTAGTGGCTGGTCAAGCCCATGCCGTACTAGTAATGTTAAGTTTTTTCAGTGAAATACTGTGTACAAGAAAGCGAAGAGAAAAAGATTTGTACAGTGACTCATGTAACAAGTGGGTTGTGCGTACTGTTTGATTTTCTAATATTCTAATTATGTGTTTCTCAGTTTTTGGTTCCTCTAGAAATGGGAGCTGTTCACCTGGACATCATTATATTTGGAGTAATTCAAATAATCCCCCTCAGCCTCAAGGCATGATGTGGCCCAATGGGGTTTGCACTACTCATCCCCCTCCACGGTTGCATGCATTTCCCAGAGCACCGTCTCATATGATGAACACACTTTTACCCATGAATAACCACCATGTTGGATCAGCACCGTCTGTGAATCCTTCTCTCTGGGAAAGACGACACACCTATTCTGGGGAATCCCCCGATGCTTCTGGCTTTCATCGTGGTTCTCTTGGGAATATGAGAATTTCTGGTAACTCACTACATCATTTGGAATTTATCCCCCAAAACATGTTTCCTAGTGTTGGTGGAAATTGCATGGACCTTCCGATTCCCTCCCAAAATGTTGGTCTGCACTCCCCTCATCAGGGGTGCCTGATGTTTCCTGGCGGAGGCCAAATGATTCCTATGATGAGTCCATTCGATTCTCCTAATGAACGGGCTAGAAGCCATAGAAATGAAGGCAATTCCAATCAGGCTGACAACAAGAAACAGTTTGAACTTGACATTGACCGCATAATGCGAGGGGAAGACAACCGGACAACACTTATGATAAAGAACATTCCTAACAAGTATGCAATACTTTACTGACCATAAAATCTTTGAAATTAATTATTTGTCAAAATTTAAGATGCAAATCGATACTCCATCAAAATTGAAGTCAATATTTCTTTCGAAGATGTTCCAAAGTTTTGTCATGGTTGAAAGTCGGTCGTAGTTATTGCTCTATCCCCATACCCTTTTTGCTACGAAATACCAATCCACACATAAAAGCAAACCGCTTTATTATCCTTTCACCGGTTATGTGCTTGATTTAGCAAATGCCTTTTTTGTCTTTCTTGTTTTGTTCTAATTTACTGTGTAACTATTCATGTTCAAAGTAATTTTTGTTAGATAAGGTTTATGCATTGCAATTTGCTTAGAAAATTTACAGTGATTGATGAGAACTCTACTGGGTATCCCATGTTGTATACAACTTGGCAACTTGCTGTAATGATGTAACATATTCCATAACATGTACACAAATTAGATGCTTAAACATTGCTAGGGCTAGCTTCTTGGCTGCCTACACCCATTGATAATTGTGACCTGGTTTATGAGTTGAGTATTTACATCCTCCACCAAGTAGCTACAATAAAGTAGATGATTTTTGTTTTCTGCGTAAACTCTTGATTAGAAATATTAGAGTCGGGCGTTGGACCATCGAAATCAGGCTTATTTGGCCTGGAAAACATTGCCCCATGAATCCAAGTTAATCATCTATTGCCCTCAATAATAATGCAATGGAAGTGTTGACTTTCATTTTCTGTTTTCTTATATGCCTTTATTTCGTATTTTTGTAATGTTGTTTCAGCTTGAAGTAATCTTTCGGATGCATCGGAATGGTTTTTTTTTTCTTCTTCTTTCCCTTCTCTCTACTAAGAAGAGCTAACCGGTTCCATTTTAACATGGTTTCAATTGTAGGTATACTTCAAAGATGCTTTTAGCTGCAATTGATGAACACCATAGGGGAACTTATGATTTCATTTATCTACCCATCGATTTTAAGGCAAGTGAATTTTCACCTCAGCGAAGAGCTTTTATATAAGCAGAGGATTCATTCATAGAATAATTATTTGCCTTTACTTTTTGCTGCAGAACAAATGCAATGTGGGTTATGCATTCATCAACATGACCAATCCTTCGTTGATCGTTCCATTCTATCAGGTTTGCTTTATCAATGCTGAAAGAGGATGATATGTTTTTTTCTTTTTTTGTCACTGTTGCAAATCTCTGCTGGTACTTGAATATTAACTTGTAATTTATGAAGATTAAAGGTAATAGAGAGAGAACTTATTTTTTTCACAGGCATTTGATGGGAAGAAATGGGAAAAGTTTAACAGCGAAAAGGTGGCATCACTTGCTTATGCTCGCATACAAGGAAAAGCTGCTCTCATTGCCCATTTTCAGAACTCAAGCTTGATGAATGAGGATAAGCGATGCCGGCCTATCCTCTTCAACACTGATGGTCCCAATGTAGGTGATCAGGTACGAGCATCACATTTACACATGTTTTGGGTTCTGTTTCGTTCACACATGTTTTTAAAGTTTTCCATATCTACTTGAACACCAAAATGCACTGGAAACTTAACGTGAAACCTGCTAAATTGGTGTTTTTTAAAACCAAAATTGGTTTCATAATACTCTATATTAATTTCATATATCATATTGCTTTCTCATTATTTCTCATGTGCCATGGGATGTGCAGACACCACCAGGGACGGAGCCACCTAAGACTTAGGGGGGTCACGTGCTCCCCCTAAACTTTCAATAGTTATATTGTTACCCATATAAATAAAAATTATGTATTATTTATCCTTTATAAAATTTAATAGTGACCCTCCTTAAATTATGTAAAATTTCTTGTATTTTTCAAAATTTAAAATTTTTCTATTTTTCTATTTTTATTATTCTTGTACACTTTTAATTGATAGGTTAAGATAAGAATTGAATCAATTGATAATTCATTTCTTATTATGAGATTTGTTTAGTTGCTTATTTCTCCTCATTGTGGGGTCCTTTTTTTTTGAGTTGATAGGATTGAATTTATTGATTATTTGGTTAATATAATTTAGTTATTGATTGTGAATTTATAAGTCACGTTAATATAAATCTTAGGATAATTGTAAAAAAAATAAAATTCAATGTTGTGATTAATATGTGCTCAGACATTAAATTTCTGGCGCTGCCACTCTGGACACCACAATGCAATTACAATGTACAAATAGCAAAAGTACAAAGTAGAATAAACATAGCTTACGGTTGCTTTTTCTATCTGCAGGTGCCCTTTCCCATGGGTGTAAATGTTCGATCCAGACCCAGCAAAACTCGAGGTATTACCAGTGAGGAAAACCATCAAGAAACCTCACCAAACTTGGCAAATGGGGAGGAATCTTTCAATGGGGATTCGTCATCAAAGGATTCAGACTGAGCAAGCAGCCCACCTTTTTGGTGGCACTAACTTTCTAGTGACATCATGTTAAAGGTAGTTAACAGAAAAAGCAGAAAAAAAAAAGAGGAGGAAAAAAGGTATTTCTGTTTCTGTGCCTCTAGAAAGCCTCCAAAAATTAATGGGGTACACATTTTGGGATTATTGACAATACTAAAACAGTTAAAAAAAGAAAAAGAAAAGCAAAAAAAAAAAAAGGTGCACGAAGTGGAGCTTTGAAGTTTTGGACGGTTTTGGGAATGATATTTGAAATTATATATGTGTAGTAGTTTCCGAGCAATGAAGAAATATTTGGTGCACTTTTGAGGAGGCTTCTCTACTATGTACTCTTCTTTCTGTATTTCCGGCATTTCACTTTCCCTTTTTTGTTGTCTGTTAAGAGAGAGGTAGAGACAGCGAACTTGGATTGTTGAAATTTTTTGCAGTGATGAACTGATGAGTTGTCTTGTACACCATTTACTTTGGCATCTGTAGAGAGGTGTTGGGCGGCTGGGTCTTATGCGATTGATTGCTTGCTTGTCACCGTTCTCTCCTAAATGCAGATACTCTGCTTTTTTTGTACCTACCTAGGTATGCATTATTTTGATCTGTTATTGTTAATATCTGGTTTATCTAATAACAATCTTTTTTTCAATTTTTGTTTTCATTTTGAGGTGCAATCTTTTTATGGTCTTATTAACTGGAAAAATGGTCAATTGAATATTATGAAACTTGTGTTTTCAATTTTTATTTTTTATTTTTATTCGGGTAGATTAATTTGTATGCTCACGCCGAAGCTTTGAAGTTGTGTTCAGTTTGGTTTTTTGATGTCTTGAATGTATTCTCATGACCTGTTTTGTACACAACTGGTTTGCAAAGAGTAGATAGGGAAGCGGTTTGTTAGGTTTTCTTAAGCTATGTTGAACCTATTGCTTTAAAAGTCTAGTATTAAGACTTGCCACATCAAAATTTTTGTTTGGGGGTCAATTTTTGTGATTTTATTACACTGTTTTAACTTTTCTTTAGCTGGTTAAATTATCATTATTACTGTTAGGGACGGAATTAGGAGAAGATTATAGGGGCTATGGCCCTCTGTTTCTGTAAAAATTATTATTTTTCATAGAACCTTAAATATATATATATATATATATTTTATACATAAAATGACTTTCCAGTATAAAAATATATATATGTCATTCTTCTTTCATATTGAATTCTCTATTTTACACGAAAAAAACTTCTTCATCTTGTTAGAAATTATTTATATGTTATTTAATTTTTTTTAATGTATGTATAATTTATATATATATTATGTATGTGTGTGTTTTTGTGTATCTGAGGAAAAAAAATTATTTTTCTTTTAGTCTCTTCGGTAATGAAATCCTCATTCTGTCCTAATTGCTGCTGAGTGTTGTGATATTTTTATTATTACTGCCCAGACTTGAGAAGCCAAGCGACAGTTTCCCGTAAACCGGGCTTACATTACGGGACCTTCTTACAACTTGAGAATTTATATATATATATATATTATCTTGGAGGATGCACTAATAAATTCTAAATTAATAACTTATACACTGTTTAGTCCTAAAAGTTTTCTTATAGACTGAAAGGTCCCATTACAATGTTTCAAGATGTTTTGAACATTAGATTTTGAATATCAGATTAATGTTTTGAACATTAGATTTCGAACATCAGATTAATGTTTTGAACATTAGATTGATGTGCAAATGGGACTAAATAGAGTATAAGAAAACTTTTAAGACTAAATGGTTTAACTTTTCAAAAACTAGGACTTATGGGTAAATTTTCCTATTATCTTTACCATGTAAAATTGGGCACCTTTTTTGGAGTTGTGGAACCCAAAATAAATAAATAAAAAATGACAATATGATGATCATACTCTTGGAAAATTCTTATCTTGAAAAAAACAAAAACAAAAACAAAAACATGTAATACTGTATAGGGCTGTTTGGTAATGTTTACATTTTCAATTTATATTTACAAAAATTTTATAAATTGATTTTTGTTTTTTTTTTGTTTATTTTTAGAAAAACATAAACTATAAACGCGTTTGGTTTAGACAAAATATTTTAAAAAATTTAAAAATATAAAAAAGAGTGAGAAATGACAAGTGGCGAGTGGGTGGATGGTGGTGGCGGAAGACGGTGGTGGCAAGTGGCGGGTGGTGGCAGACATGCCTGCCGCACATCGTTATGATTGGTGGCGGCGTGGGTGGCAGGTGGGTGGTGGTGGGTGCGTGGTGGTGGCGAGTGGTGGATGGTGGTGGTGGCAAGTGGGTGGTGAGTGGTGGTGGGGGTGGTGGCGGAAGACGGTGGTGGAAAATGGTGGCGGATGGTGGCTAGTGTTGGGTGGTAAAAAAAAAAAAATTGAAAACTCAAAACGTAAACTCATTTTTTGAGTTTACATTTTTTGGCCAAATTTATAAATTGAGACCATTGATTTATAAATCAAAAATTTACCAAATAAGATTTTATTTGAGTTTTTAAAATTTTTGTAAATATAAACAGAAAACTGAAAACATACGTGTTAATTTCTCTAAATTTAAGTTATTGTCTTGTCTTTATTCTGAGTTGACAAGGTCACATAAGGTGTTGGGACTTTGCCAGCGGCAAATCTTTTCAGTTGTAATTTAGTTATACGGACATGTTAATGTTATTTTTGTATAAAAAAAAAAGTCACATGTAAACTAAAAATATGTGTATGGGTTTATTTTTTCATAAATCACAAACAAAAGATTAGAGAGAGAGAGAGATGGAAAGAAAGACAAAATATACTGATGATTATGCTTTAGAAATTAATAATTAGATTTAAGTGCATGCATGGCGTGTTGAGAAAGATATTAAATTCTTTACTCTGTTTTCAAGTTATAGCCTTCTTACTTACTATCGGTGAAATTGGTGCCATTGGTAAGATTGGTTTATCTCACTAACTACGTAGAGCAAACATTTTCCATTCAAATGTTTTACTACATAGCTCTCACTTTCACACAATTGTTGCCACCGTTGCTACCTCTATCCACTGCACCACCTCTACCACCATAACGAAATCTCCACCATCACTGTCACGGCTATCCCGTACCACCGCCGCTCATATAACACAATTACTAGCACTATAAAAAAAAGCCCCTTTTTACAAAATTCAATGGTGATGTAGAACGAGCAAACATTGGTGGGGAATCTGTAGCATGTAATCTAAACAGTTCAAAGACTCCCAACTAATTAAGGGAAGATTTTTATTCGGAGAGAAGGAAAGCAAAGTGAAGCATAAAGACAAAAAATCGTTGGGAACTAGAGACCAAACTTGTTTGAATTAATTTTTTTAAAAAAAGGAAAGAGACAAAAAGTTTTTTGATAAGAAATTGTTGGTCAAAATATGATGGACAAGCAAGGCACGAAATTTGTGTAATTTGCTACATTATATATCATATCACAGGCCAACTTTATTTGTGTTAAGGTTGACTAATATGCTATTAAGCCAATCTATCTCTCTCTCCCTCTATGTGGTGTCAATAATCATAAAGGGCTTTTTACCAATATATGGACACACCGTTTTACAATAATATTACATGCATCGCTCTAAAGATTTCATATGCATACAAGGTCCTTAACATCACAAAAAGCTCATTTTATAACCAAAATACTCTTATAGCGACACTTCTATTGCCTACATTGTCATAGGTTATGTTTGGCATGAAGGTTTGGGTTGGATTTGGGCTATTTTAGTTACAAAAAGATAAAATAATTTTTTTAATCTAATAATACAAAATATCGCATCTAAATCATAATCATTTCATTTTTTTTTCCCACAAAAGTCAGTAACTCAAAAAGTCTATCCCAAATGAAACTTTTTAATTTCAGGTTAAAATAGTCAAAAAGTCAACCCACATCCCAAACGAAGGCATAGAAAGAATTCCATCTACAAAACATTTATTGAAACATATATCACCTTCACCATCACCATTATTACTACCACCACCACCACCAAAACAAAGAAATATCTCTATTAATAAATTGCTTAAGCAACGAACAAAGAAATTTCGCTACTATTGTGGAAGGGCCAATTTGCCTTGAAAACAAAATTGACACTAAAAACATGAACCTTGCGTCCTAAACACACTGTTTTTAGAAGACCTTACATGTCAAAAAAACAATTGATAGAAGAACTTCGCAACTTATGGAACTATTTTGAGAGATCTTATACTAATTTTTAATATATTTAATTGTGTGGACAAGTTTGTTTTTAAGATCATGTAATCATTAAGGGATTCACAAAATTAATAGTGAAATATTAATAATTCTATTAAATTAGTGTAGTATTCACTATCCAATTGGATTAATATCCATTGGATTAATAATCCAACCCTTACCCCATTACTAATAATCCTATAAATTTGTTAGATTAATTATCCATTGGATTAATAATCCTAAATTAAAATGTTAAAACAAACATAGGATAATTGGGCCCACGGATTAAAAATTCCAATCCCATACTCTAATCCACCCAATCAAACATATCCTAAGTTCACTATTATTGATATGACGCGGATCTAGGGTGCTTGTTGTGCACCCAACACAACAGGCACTGTGAGTAGATGAAAGGGTTAACGATATCCGATTAACTTAATTTTTTTACAAGTATGTTCTATTGAATATACTCTAAAATATGAATGGTTCGAATCATAAAACTGAATTTCAAAATGAGTCCATAAAGCTGCACAACAATGCCTACTGTGTGCTGGGTGCATAGTAGACACCCCAAATCTGTATGGTGCACATCATTATTATAAAATTTTCTGAGTTGCATGGGTTTATTAGGGTGCAAGAAGGTCCTCATAAAAACTTACCGAAAAAGAAGAAGAAGAAGGTCCCTCATAAAATGTATTAATTCTTGCGAGGAATGTCCGCTAAACGCCAATATCCTAATAGTTAGCTTATTTGTGCCCTTTTTTATATTTTATATTTTTTATTTGAGTAAAATGTTTTGTTTGGTGAGTCTGGTGAACCGCATCTAGTATATACGCGCACACACTTAGGTATTATTTCATGTGGTTTTTCACCAAACATTACTCATATTATATAACAAAAATGTTAGAAGTCTTAAAAATTCTACTAAAAATTTTATCAAATGTCTCATATGGGTGTGAGATCCACATGGGATCCACATTGTGTGGATCCCATATCCATGTGAGACATTTGGTAAAACTTTTAGTAGAATATTTGGAATTTCTAACCTTACTCATTATATAATAAGGGGTTTATACAATATTGTGTGGATGCTATTTATAGATAAAAGATGGGATCTAATAGATAATGAGATGGTATTCACCATCATTCTGGAAAGTGTTTCACTAAAAAAAAATTTGTATAAAATAATATGTCGGTTTGTCAAAAATAATATTGACTCACTTTTTAAATTTAGTGATATGTAAAAAAAAGTGATTTAAAAATGAAAGTTATCTTAAATATTTTAAAAAATTACAACATTATTAGATTTAAAAATGAGTTTAACTTTTAGATTTTAATTGATAAATCTCATTTAGAAGTGTTCTAACCTAAGAAGTCCATGAATGAATTTTTTAACCCACTTAATCCCATGTATTTATACTTTTATTTCATGAAGTCATTTTTTCTTAATTTACATTATTTTCTTAGACTCTTATGCCCTTATATTTAATATTGATATTTAATGTTGGGGAATGAGAAAAAAAGGAAAAGGAGCAAGGCATAGAAAATTTCATACACAAATTAAATAACATTGATGTTATTATTATTATTATTATTATTATTATTATATAATGTGAATATATTTTAATTGATAACACATTAAAAATAATGTGAACATTTTCTATCATCTGATGTGAATATATTTTTAATTGACAACACATTAAAAATAATGTGAACATTCTCTCTCATCTGATGTGAACGTTCACAAAATCTTTCCGAAATTTTTTCTTTCATCTAATGTAGTGATGTGAACATTTACAACATGTGAACCTTCTTATTTTTAATTGACAACATATTAAAAATGGCGCTCATTATATTTTTAATTGACAACACATCTTATTTACAACATGTAGTGATGTGAATGTTTACAACATATGAATATTCTCTCTCATCTAATGTAGTGATGTGAACGTTTATATTCGTGTGTTTTAGTATGAATATTCATATCATGTAATTGACAACATAATGACAAAAATTCATTTCAAATTAATATGAATATAATGATATGAATATTTATTTCAATTATATGATGTGAATATTCACTCATGTAATTGGCAATACAATAACAAAATTTCATTTCAAATTAATATGAATATAATGACAGTCAACATCTTGATACATAGGGATTACCAAAATATAATAACAATCAATATTAAATATCAACATTAATAGGGATAAAGAGAGATTGATGGTGTTTTGACCTTCTAACCTCAAATAGGATCTAATGGAATAGTAAAAAGAACATGAGTTGGATGGAATAAAACTCTTAAAAAGAGAATTTATCAAAAAAGTTCCATTTGAATAATCGCATTACTCTTATTTTTCAAGTGATAAGATTCAAGATCGTGATATCATTGTGAATCGAAATTATATAGATTTTTTTTTTTTCGAAAAATAGTGAAACTTCTCTCTCCAACTTTGAGTAGTAGGAGAGGTACAATATATTTTTTCTTATTAATTAAGGTCCCTTAATAATATTATTAGAGAAATTTTAACTCATCAACTGAAATTTTTTTGTGAAGCTAAAATTTCACTTTAAAGAGTTGAAAGAGAAAACCTATCTAACCTTATTTCACTGAGTTGAACAAATTTATAATTTTACCCTTAAAATCAAGACATGCTAATTATGTGCATATTTTTTTATTAAAAATATTATTAATTGTATTCAACTGAATTAAATTGAGATAATATCATAAATTTAAAGACAAAATTAAGCCTTCGTTTGGGAAGGCAAGATTGAGGTTTTTTTAACTATTTTAGTTACAAAAAATAAAATAAGCTTTTTAACTTAATAAGACAAAATATCACATCCAACTCATAATCATTACATTTTTTTTCTCACAAAAAACCCAAAAGTCATTCCCAAATCAAGCTGCCAAAAGTCATTCCCAAATAAAACTTTTTAGCCCCAGACTAAAAAAGTCAAAAAAATCAAAAAAACCAATCCATTTCTCAAAAGAAGGCTAAGTAAATTGAAATTATTAAGGGTCCGTTTGGCAAGTTAGTTTCGGGCTATTTTAGCCACAAAAGACAAAATAGACTATTTTAGCCATAACAAACAAAATATCACATCCAACCCATAATTATTACACTCTTCTCTCACAAAAAAAGTCAAAAAATCAAAAAATCCTTCCTAAACCAAATTTTTTAACCTAAACTAAAATAATTAAAAAAACTAAAAAATTAAAAAATCAACACACTTCCCAAACAGAGGCTAAGATTAAAACGACATAAATATCAAAATGCAATAACTAACTATATATAATTTGCTCATAAATAAATAAAAAACTCTCGCCAGTATAAAACCTTTCTAGCCCTACTTCTTCTACTCCCTTTTTCTTACTCAGTCCTCACTGATCTGCAATTCAAACACAGCACATGCACAACACTCTCTTTTATACAAGCTTAGAATCTATGGAATCTATGTTAGCTTGATCTTAACCACACCACCGTTAAGACAAAAGGATCATCTACTTGGTTCTTTTTTTCCCATGAGGTGAGGTGATAGTGCAATATTAATTAGGGTTTAAGAAGATCAAATAAAGGTGGATCGAAGGCATGGAAAGAGGCCACTACCCTTGGAAATACTGGAGGAGAAAGAAGAAGAAGAAGAAGAAGAAGCTACTGCTGCTTACCAATCAGTTCTGAGCGAGAAAGATACGTTGACCATGGTTTCGGCTCTCACCCGTATTATTGGAACCACTCAAACTCATGACCATAACCTTAATGTCCCGGCTGTACCGGTGCAATCAACTACTGCATCCGCTATCTCCGACCATCGCCCATCTCATGCCACGCAACATCAAGGTAACCACTATCATATCATGTCATGCCCTCTATACATTTCTTTTTCAAAAGTTATCTTCATATATATATATATATATATGAAGTTTTTTGAGTTTTGATTTCTGAATCATCTCACTAAGCCTCATACCCAACATCGATAGGGTTTGTTCTAGTGGTTGAGATGCTCATTTACCAGACATGATGCTTGAGTTCAAGTATCATCCCGTGATATGCTACTCCCCCTTATCCCTATTCGCCTCTGATTGTGAAAAATAAATAAATATATATATATATATATTATTATTATTATTTTTTTGAAAACTCAAAATTGCCCAAAGTACCTTAGAAGTGATCTCTCAAAATTGCCCAAATAAAGATTTGACTGAGGCTTTGTTTTTTTTTTTTTGGAACACTCAAAATTGCCCAAAGTACCTTAGAAGTGATCTCTCAAAATTGCCCAAATAAAGATTTGACTGAGGCTTTGTTTTTTTTTAAAAAGATATGACTGAGGCTATCTTTCTTAATTGTATGACTTTTGTTGCTATTCAAATCTTCTCCCCCCCTCCTCTTTTGTTTTTTTTTTTTTTTTTATTTTAAAAGATAAAGAGATAAGCTTGCAATCTTTACTTCCGTGTTGTAGTTAAACACGCAGATGCCAGATGCATATATTTTATTGTTTATCAAGAAAAAATGGATATTTTTGTTGTGTTTTAATTTGACCAAGGTTTTTCTAGTGACTCATAATCTATCTATCCTAACATTTAGAAAAAATAAAATTTTGAATTTAAATTACGTGTGACTCATTATAAAGATCACACATACCACAAAAAAAAAAAAAAAAAAAGAAGTAACAAAAAAATCTAATACTACATCATAATGTTAGTTATTTAATGGGTACTTACACGTAGGTCATAATAGGTGAACTTATTGTCCAATAGGCCTGAGAATTAATGGCGTTTTTCATTAAATACTATTAAAAAACGTCACTAATTATTAATTTTCACCGAATAGGCCTGAGAATTAATGGCGTTTTTCATTAAATACTATTAAAAAACGTCACTAATTATTAATTTTCACCGACAGTTTAAAAATTTAAAAATCACTAATTATAAGTTTCAGTAACAGTTTAAAAAATCATCACAAAAAAATGTCACTAATTTTTAACTTTCAATGACATTTTCAAAAATTATCACAGGAGAACGTTACTGATTGTAAGTTTTAGTGATAACTTATAAAAATTATAATAAAATAAAGTTACTAATTGTCAATTTTTAGCGACACATGTAAAAAATCGTCATAAAAAAAATTAGTTTTAGCGACGATTTTATTATGACTTATTTTTAATAGAATTTGATAAGAATTAAATCCAATTATTATGACTTATTAGTAATTTATCCTGATTTTTAATTGTGTAAAAATTATTTTGATGGTAAAAATACTTTAAAAAAAAATAGTCAAGGAACCAAAAGATTAAAGCTATTCCAATGCATTGAGTATTCATAAAATGTTAGGTCTTGATTTTAATAATAAAAAAATAAAAAAAAAATTGAATAAGAGCACATAAATGTACACTCTTTAGTCCTTTGTTGGGTGTATGTCGCTTTCTACAAAGAGGTTCCTTCACTCTCTCACCTACCGAAATGGTTGTGTGAATCATGTCTTCTTTTAGCATGTTTATTGTTTTTTCCCAATTTCAATCAGGACACATATATTTTCGTCCAATGTAATTTTCTCACCGACAAAAGAAGCATATGGATCCCTAGTTTTAGTTATTTAGTCATGTTTTTAACATGGGAGAAAGGGTTAAGCTTTAAATTTTGGCGTCAAAAGTTATCGTTTTGCGAGCTCACCAATTTTTGATCCACATCTTTCTTATGTATAAAATTCTTTCATTCGAGAACAACAAGTCTTTCAGTACTTTTGTTTAAAAAGCTAGGAGTTAAAATGGAATTAGTGTCATCCATTTTTCATTACAAAATTAATTTTGTTAGACGCATGTTTGCAAGGCGCAAAAAACAACTAATAGTAATAATATATAAATAAATATACAGTAATGCTACGTATGATGAAAAGACTTTTATGAAACTGATCATGAAAGATTTGTGATCTTTAGATTACACTTAAAATAAAGCACCACACACTAATCAAGCTAATCTAAGGGTCACAGATTTTTCATAATCATTTTCATGAAAATTTTTTCATGATCCCTAACATTTCTCATAAATATAATTGTATAGAATTTTCATCTAGAATGATATGGCAGCATTGGATTTTCTCAATTTTAAAGTCAAAGGTTCATTAAAATGACTTAAATACTTCTCAATATTATTATTTCCACATCGATGCTGTAGGACATCTTTTGTTCATAAATCTTTTTTATTTAAAGGGCAATAGCAAATATAGGCACAAGGCTTGTATAAAGTTTTATCAATTGATTTGAAATCCACCTAATATTGTGTCTAGTTGTTACGTTTGTCACTATATTCATTAGTGCCCTTGACATTATTTGCATATTTTAGAAGAAAAAAATGGTAAATAAGTGTTTTATTACCAAAAAAGAAAAGAAGAAGAAAAACAAGAAGAAGAATATGATTTTCATCCTATGAATATCTCTAATTAAGGGAATAGCTATTGCATGTTTTTTTTTTTTTTTGGAAGGGGGGGAGAGAAATTATTCAATATTTTTGGAGTAATTAATGTTATATTTCATATTTTGCACATTATGGGTTTAATATGTTAATAATTTGGAAGAGTACAGTAGGCAAAATCTTCTATAGGAGGAGTATTTTATAAATTTATGTTTTGAATTTGATGTGAAGGAGGAGGAGGAGGAGGAGGAGGAGGAGGAGACATGATAAGGAGAAAACATTACAGAGGAGTAAGACAAAGACCATGGGGAAAATGGGCAGCAGAAATACGGGATCCAAAGAAAGCAGCCAGAGTATGGCTGGGGACCTTCGACACCGCGGAGGATGCAGCACTTGCATACGATGAAGCTGCTCTGAGGTTCAAAGGCACCAAAGCCAAGCTCAATTTCCCTGCAAGACTTCAATTTCAAGGGATCACCGACGACCACGTCTCCTCTGGCCATTACTTCTTCAATACTAGTCATCATGAAGCAGGGGATCATTCCACCATTAATATTACAATTCCCAATTCCACCAGGCCACCTCCTGTTCCTCCTATGTCTATGTCCATGTCCATGTCCACGTCGATGGGACAACAAGAGAGTTATCCAGACCTACTTCAGTATGCACAACTTCTTTCTAGCGATGATGCTGAATTCCCTTATTTCACTTCAGCTCTCTATAATCAACAACAACAACAATTCTATGTTTCGCCCTCTTCCACAAGTGCACCACCATTTTCCTCCATTACCTCAGATCCTCAACAACAACAACAACAACAACAACAACAACAACAACAACAGGGGCTTTTGAATTCTTCATCGCAGTCGGGAAGCTCCTCTTCTACTTCTGATTTTCTCAAGCATGGGAAGCACTTCGGTTCTACCTAGTAACCCCTGCGCAACTACCCGACTCAGTAGCCTACCGTCTTCAAGATTTTATGTGTGCGTGAGGGAGACAAGATCTATATCACCACTCTAGCTTATTAGTAAGTGAGTAGAATTGTAAATATTTTTGGCGATTGCAAGTATTATTGGCAATTGCAAGTGTTAGTATGATATTGTTTTATCGTGTTTTGTTTTTGAGTTTTGCATTTTCAATTGCTATGAAAAATTTGAGAACAATAGAATGGCTGCACGACGGCACAAGATCGATCAAAAGAGACGTTTATTGATCAGTTTGTTGATTGGTGGCAATGATAGGATTTGGAGTTTGTTGTTATTTGGAGTTATACTTGATGACTCTCTCATCTCATCATGAATCATGTTCTTCTCCAAAGTATTATTGGCAATGTCTTGCATCGTTCCCAAAATTGAAGATTTTTTTTTCCTATTCAAATTCCATTGTAGGCTTTTGGAAGCTGTATCATTATGTCATTTCGCGGACTACTGAAAAATGACACTACAATATTGAAGTTTTCAGTTTTAATACTACTTTGAATGTGTTCACTTGCTTTTCATTAATTATATAATATAATAAATATATTTAGGGTATATCTTTGAAATATTTTATTGAAGCTTTTCACTTCTTGTGGGTTTTCTTTTTTTAGATGCCATGACCATGCAAGTCTTACCATTTTGCTTAGAAAAGAGTAATGTTAGATATCATGAAAAATATATCATGAAATATATCATAAAGATTTTTCATCCCTTGATTAGTGTTGATTAGTGTGTGGTATTTTATTGTATAAGTAATCCAAAGATTGAGAATCTTTCATGATAATATTCATGATATATTTTTCATGATCTCTAGCATTACTCCTTAGAAAAAAGCGCACATGCATATTAGATACCGACATTCTATAAGCAATCACAGCATGTCTTTTTTTCCTTTTTTCATGTAATTGATCGTTTTCTGTTTTCTTTTTTCATTTAATTAATTTAGATAGTGGACTATGTATTTTATGCAATAAAGCAACCGTCACAATTGATAATTAGGTCAAGTTTGGGTAATTTAAAAAAAGTTAAAAAGTCAAAAAGTTACTCAAAAAGTTAAAAAGTCATCACTATTCACCAAAAGTTAACAATTACGGCTGCACAATTCCCAATTCTAATTTTCTCCTACAAACTAATTTTTATAATTTTTTATTACACATTTTTCCATAAAAAGTCAAAAAGTTAACCCAAACATTTATATTTTCAACCTCAATTTTTTAGTCTAAAAAGACAAAAAGTGCACTTACTTACCATTTTGCTTAGAAAAAAGCGCACATGCATATTAGATACCGACATTCTATAAGCAATCACAGCATGTCTTTTTTCCTTTTTTCATGTAATTGATCGTTTTCTGTTTTCTTTTTTCATTTAACTAATTAATTTAGATAGTGGACTATGTATTTTATGCAATAAAGCAACCGTCACAATTGATAATTAGTATGGAAGCCTTGCCTTTGAAGGATGAAACTCTTAAAAAAAAAATTACTAATGACAAAAAATTCAAAAAAATAATTTTTTTTGCCTTTTTTTCTTTTTCTTTAGTGATTATTTATTTATTTACTTTTTTAGTTCATCTAATCAAGTATAATTTAAAGGTGTTAAACTCTTTGAATTTAAAAAAAAAAAATCATTAAAGACAGAAAAACACTAAAAAAGAATCACTAAAATGTCAATTTTATACACGTTCAAATGAAACTCATACTAAAAGTTTTTTTATTTTTTTTAATCGGTAAAAGAAAATAAATTTTATTGATAAATAAAATACAGTACACATGAAATACATCAATAAAAAGAGACAAGAGCAACAGGCATCATAATGAACCTCCTAATACCAATTAGGTTGACACCAAGAAAAATATCAAATCATGTGTAAGCTCAAGCCAAAAAAATTGATAAGAGACCAACATATAGCCACCAAAATCAACAACCCATCATATAACCACCTCGCCAAGTTCCAAGAAAAAGGCTAGGCAAAAACCACCCAATCACACTACCAAACTAACCTCCCAAATCCTCATAGATCACACAGCAATATCAGCAACAGCATAATGAACAATGATGTACTCCTCTGCTTCACCCCTGTCATTACTAGCATGGAGCAACCATCAAGCGTCAGGCCACCAAGATTCCCAACTCCATCAGTCCACCAAGTCCTTGAAGATCACAATGCGTGGCCCCTACTCAGCTGCAGATTATGAACCAGATCATGCCCTGAAAAAGCAAAGCTTAAGTTATTATACTTAACCCACAAAGCAATCCTAATTTTTACCATCTCACAAAGATCCATCACCTGTGGCTGAACTCCTCTAAAGACACAATCATGCCTGCACTTCCAGATGGACCACAGCAAAGCCATAGGAATTGTTTTCCAAATCATCCACTCAAGCTTCTTAAATTTAAACCCAGCCCACCAATTACGGAATCCTTCAATTGAACCAAGTACAACCCACCCCCATACGTATGTTAATATTACGGCTACTATCATCTCCACTACTACCACCGTGAATATATGACTTTCTAACTATTTTTATTTAAAAAATATTTTTTGTCAAAAATATTAATGTAAGTCTCTGCTCTATATTGCAGGTTTTATGACGATTTCGACAAAGTGTTCTACATTATGTATTTCGTATGTAAAATCTGTTTAGTTTGTGAAAATAAAAAATATTATGCATGAACATATATTATATATTTTATTTTAAAAGATAAGTGTATAATGTAAATTTAATAGAATGTGATTTACATTCACAATAAATATAATTTATTAATTCATTGTTTAAAGATAATTTTCTAGAATGTAACAGTAGGAGGGAGGGAGGGAGGGAGGGTTTCAATTTCGCTTTCAAGCGCATGAAAGGCACAGTTTTCCAGCCAGAAAGGTCGGCAACAATGATGCAACTCAAGATAAGAAATAACATATCACTAAAAGCAAACATTACAAAACATATATATAAAAAAAGAATGATGAAAAAGTTTCTGTCCATCCCATGTGAGAGACCAACTAGCAATTATGTGCATCATATTGCAATCAATCACAACCCTGATCTCTCTTGTGATGGAGCAAAGGTTTACTCAGTTCGAATAATAACTTTTTTTAAAATAAAAATATGAATATAATTTTGAGTCTTACAATTTTAACATTTGAAAACCAACTCTAAGAGTGTGGTTTCTTACGCTCTCAAACCAAGTATCCGTACCGTATTACACTCTATAAAACTTCCGCTTTCTTGAAAGTTTGTTAGCCATTTAAAATTTTAAAAAGAAAAGAAAAAGAGAGAGAATATTAGATTCATAAAATTTTAAATTTTGTTCTTTTCTCATGAGAATTTCTAATGAAATCGTACACTTGAATAATATTAATATAAAAATTATATTATCAATACATATATTTTATTTTTAATAATAATTTTTTTATTCTCTCAAAATATTTACCATTCAAATATGACTTTAAAAAGTCATCTTGATTTCTTATGGCCAAGAAGTAGTATCATATTTGTTGGATTAACTCAAAAATTGAAATCCTATTGTTGTTGGACTTGGACAGATATTAAGTTACACTTATCAAAATAATCTACTTTATACAAAATTAAAAAGGAAATTAAAATTCAACTTTATAAAGATTCTCGAGCGTGCACAATTATTCGCTTCGAGATCACCTCCATCAATCGCATCAAATGATCAAATCAAAATATATGATTTAAGATTACTAAAAAAATTGAATAAATTGTAAAAAATTATTAGATGTTCTCATGACATAATGAGCATTATTTATGTACGAGCATGAAATAATTATTTATGTATAATTTTGTTAATCAAGTTTGAACTCTTTCAAATATCATCGTCTTATTACTTGAAACCACAAATATGAGTTAGCCGGTGGGTGTGTGTCGGAACCCATCTGATACCTAAATCAGCAAGTGGACAACAGAAAAAAAAAACTCTGTGTATTCAAGAGTCATAATTGAAATACTTGGAAAAATGTTTTGTCATGAGCTTTTATGATTTCAAGTGGCACAATTCTAGTAGAACTTTAACTCTGCTTAACAGAGTTCTCCTAGGAATCACATTCCCAAAGGATAACGCTTATCCTTGGAACACCCTTCTCACTGCCAATCAAGTGAGATTGCCAATTCTCTTCGCTCAGCTATCGTTACAGTGAACCGAGCTATCTCGCTTTGTGCCTCTTTTGGCATAACCGCGTGAACCATGGCTATAAATTGGCACCTTGCCAAGCTACCCATAGCTTAGCTCTTTACAGTGAAGACATCTTAGTCCACTAACGGACTGCCTTTATGTAGCTAGGTCTAGGCCCCCGCAACCCATCTTTGACCAGCCTAGTGCCTGTTTAACCTAAGATTGAGTTATCCCAACTCTCAAACCAACCCACTACGCAGCCCAACCTCCACAGATAATCTTGCCTAGCGCGGCCCAATTTGTCTACAAAAATTATTCTCTCAATTTATGTAGTATTTTATATCAATTAGTGGGTAATACACGTGATGCGTGTACAATTTAGATAAGTAAGAATAAAAATAGATAATAAAAAAATTAATATCATAATATGTAAGTTGCTTAAATGGTAAGTGTATTCTTAATGAAATCTAAGTTTTAGATTCAAACCTTATTTGCTTTATAGTATAATAATTTTTTATTTTAACATATAAAAATCTGCCACATGCCTTGAGGAAAAAGTTTGGAGGTTTGAACACTAAATCTAGTGTTCACACATACAATAGTATAGATAGATAGATAGGGATCTAGGGATCCTATTGTGCCTTTGGGCACAACAGGCTATTATGCTCCCTTGTGGAGTGTCGTCCCAAGCCTCTTTGGATAATCTGAACCATACATATTGTAGAGTTCATCGAGTAAATCATCCATGCAAAAAAATCAAATTGATTGGATATCTGCAGCCCTATAACCAAAGCGCATTTGTTTTTATAAAAATTAACGGTTAACATAACTTTCATAAATTTTTAAAAACAATTAAGACCTAATCATGAGGTTATGAATATCCGATTAATTTGATTTTTTACATGAATAATATTCTTGACGAACCCTACACTATGACGGTTCAAATTATCAAAAAATATTTGGGACGAACTCCCACAAAGGGGCATAGCAGCACTCCCAAGTCTGATAGATAGATAGATAAAAGATCATAATATATACTAATAAGGCATGGCTTGAGAAGAAGGTTTGCGAGGCTTTGATACCAAATTTAGTATATATATAATTGTATAGATAGATAGATGTCTAATGAGTCATTCTTTGCTTTATAGTACCTATTAAACAAAAGTTAGTTAGCATGTCAGACTCAATTTTTTTTTTTTAAAATAGGGCAAATTACATTTACCTCCTCTGAGGTTTCTAATAAATAGAGGGACCTCCCCTGTGATTTGAATAATTATAGTAACCTCTTCTACTTTATTTGACAATGTCAAGATTCTTCAAAATTTGTGTAACAACTCTCGTTACTGTTTACCGATTAACCACTGATTACTGCTAAACTGAGAGTACTGAACTGATTGACTGAAATTTGGAACTGAATTGATTAAGTATATCTGTTTAATTGTATGTCTATCTGTTGACTGTTTGATTATCTGTTCATGCCTTTGTGTTTAAATTGCGAATTGAAGGCCTTGTCGGCGGCCGAATCTGAAATTGATTGATGATTTGTGATCAATAGAATTTATGCGCATTTATGGTGTGTTTATTTGAAAACTGATTTGGTATGATTAAATTGGATCAATATTAATAAATTACATATATTGGCTTTAATTACAACTTTGCCATTTGAATGGGCCATTACACCAAACTTTGTCTAAGGCTTAGTCTTGCATTACACAACTCTTCCTCAACCATTTTGAGAGCATAGCCGACTAGAGTGAGAGAGTGAGAGGAAAAGAGTGTTTTCAACTTGAATTCATCAATTTTAGTTTGGAGATTTGAGGGAAGTGAAGAGAGATTGCATAATTGAGCCTCCTTGCCTTTGATTCAAGACTTAAGGTAGAGATTGTACCTTCTTGTTCATGTAATCAAGTCATATGTTGCATGGTTTATGGAAGTTTAGAGATTAAGGGCATGAATTAACTTTAAATTGTTGAATTGAAGTTCATTCCATGCATGCATGCTTATATCCTAGCACTTTAAGGTTGAATACATGGAATTTGGTACATGCATGTTTATATTTTTGCATTGGACCTTGAACTCATAATGGTTTTGAAGGAATTGGCTCATTAGAGCAAGTATTGGAAGCTTTGAAATGGTTTAAATTCATGCATGTCATGCTTGACTTATGTTCATGAAAATTGGTTTCAAACTGAGTTGAATTGATCTTCCTTTGGGGCTTTGATTTTACAATTGAGTTTTGAATCATGTTACACTATGAGTTTTGATGTGTTTTCCAGCAAGCTAGCCCAAGAGGATCGAAATTTATGTTTTAAAACATGGTTTTGAGCTTGAGTTTCAAATCTGGAATTTCCAGAATTTGGACTTACGCTCGAGCGGGGTGACTGGCGCTCGAGCGTGAAATTCGTGCTCCCAGTACTTTGCACTGTTTTGATGTCCGCTCAAGCAGCATAATTGACGCTCGAGCGGGACATTGTGTCTCATGCTCGAGCGGGTGTCGAGCGCCCAATCGAGCGTGATTTCTACCTATCCAGCACTTTTGACTGTTTTGCTGAAAGCTCGAGCGGGTAATTCTACGCTCGAGCGGAAACCTTTGTCTACATGTCCGCTCGAGCGGAGTAACCTACGCTCGAGCGTGAACCCTGTTTCTGAAAATTTTGAAAATATTTTTAAAGTGCATCTTTGCATCCTCATCTCATCCTAGGCATTATTAGGCCTAGTTTAAGGCATCTTAATGAGGATATAGATAGAGAACCACACCGAGGCAAATTAAGGATTAAGTTATTATCTTTCCCAACTGTGTAGCTTAGTGTGTGTTCAATCTGTAACTGTGTAGGGTTGGCGACTGGGGACGCGCTCTAGCTCTACTGTAGCCCAGAACTCTGTGAGTAACAACTGTGTAAAGATATGTTCAAAATGATTATCTTCTGAACAAATGAACTGTACTACTTTCTGAACTGATACTGTTAATTGAATGAATGTATGTCCTATATTCTGAACTGTATTGTGGCATCCTTAGCAACTACTGTTTACTGTTACTGTTACAGAGATATTTGTCGGTTCCTTTGTTGGAACCACTATTGTTACTGATTGATGGCAATCATTTACTGTTCAGTCTTTTAAGACTTACTGTTTACTGTACTGTTATGCTAATGGATGTACCACATATGACTGAATGACTGATATACTGAATTAATGAACTGTTTTCATTACTATAAGGACATTCATTCTTAACCTCTTTACGCATTACGTTATTCACTGGGCTTTAGCTCACTGCTCATATATATATGTAGGTGTACAGGCACCAGACCGTGGTTAGAAGCGTCGGGGTAAGCTCCAGTTTTGTCAAGCCAACCACTGTGCCTCACTGCGAGGTTCCGAGCCCGTCAAGTTATGGCTTAGGGGTGTTTTAATTTCCCCGTCTGTCTCTGTATCTGTTTGTATAACTGCATAGACTGTTACTGGATTGTTTGATAGGGATTAGGTCCCTGAACTGAATGATTGTATATACGTACATACTG